TGGAACTGGACTCTTCAAGAAGATCGAAGGAAGACAACGTTATGATCTGACGTAGCTAGCGGAGGTAGTACTGAAACATTCGAGATGTTATGTGACGTGGAAAGTATGAGGTCAAGGACCTTTCCATTATGGGTGGGTTGCATAACATGCTGTCTGAGGCCAGACACACGGAAGAAGTTCATGTAAGCAGCAGCAGCAGAATTCAGTGCACTCGAACTACTCCAGTCAACCATTGAAATCTCCAAGGACCACAGTGCTCGAGCGCACTGCCACAAGATCACCGAGCACTTCAATCAGGGCATCATCATCAGCTTTGGTCGAATTCGGTGGGCGGTATATCGTAATGATGCGGACATAGTAGGACCTCGTCGGGAAAAACAGATCAACGCAGAGTCCGTCAGCCTTCCCAGCTTTAATGTGACTCACAAATTCTACATGGACAATTCCCTTTAACAAAACAACAAACGCCCCCACCCCTTACCACGAGACCTGTCAAGGCGATGGAGAAAGTAAGGAAGGGAGCCAACTAACTCGGCATCAAGAATGCTGCCTTTCAGCCAGGTTTCGGTGACACACAGTATATCAGGCTTGAAGTGAGAAACAAAAGAGTGAAAGTGAATTAGTTTATTAACTAAACTCCGAGCGTTAAGTAAACAGCATCGCAATACTGGGGAACCATGCGTGATTATAGGTTTCCCGATGTCCTACTGGGTAAGACTGGAGACATGCGTGAGTGCCCCCTTATAGACAACCCATTCCTTGACACTCTTCCCTTTGTTGCGCTCACGGGCAATTTGCCTGAGCTCGAACTCACGCTGCCTTTCCTCAGGTGTCATACTTTTACGTATGAAAACCTGATGAAAGGCAGTGTCTCGGAGTAGGCGGGCATTCGCAAGCGCAGTGCGCCAATGCGAAGTGGAGGGAAGTACAACTTTTACGAGCCGGGGACGATTAGGATCCCGTTTGCCCATTCGATAGACTTCGGAGGGACGGCACTCCACTTTGAGAATGTCCAGTACCCCCGCAACCTTCCCCTCGAGATCCTTCTGGCAGTCCGAACGGGCGAAGATCTTCGTTGGATTCCTCCAAGCCATAGACGACAATGCTCCGCGCACGTTTCTCGCTTT